TCTACATTATTCTTTAGCGTTGCATAGTATTCCATTGTGTGTATGTACCATAGTTTGGTTATCCATTCCTCAGTTGATGGACATCTAGGTTGTTTCCATATTTTGGCTATTGTAAATAATCCTCACTCATTCTTAAACCATCATGAGGAAATAATAAGACAAGCCAAAATTGAGGGACGTTCTGAAAATAACTGGCTTTACTCTTCAGAACTATCTTATGGGGGAGGAGATAGGAAGAAAGGCCCAGGAGATGTTCCAAACTTACAGAGACATGAAAATTAAATGCAGTACATAATCCTGGGTGGAGGAGATGGGGGATACATTTGTTTCCTACAGCCGTCATGACAAATTACAGTTGGTCCTCTGTGTCTTCAATTTCTGTATCGTGGATTCAGCCAACCATGACGAAAATGGAGAGAGAGAGAAAACAAAAAGCAATTAAGTGGTCAAAGCAATCCCTCAAAGGCGTTTACATTGTATTACGTTTATTTGTAATGTAGAGATGATTTAAAGTTATATGGAAGGATGTGCCTAGGTTATATGCAAATCTACTCTGTAGTGATACTGCCTTGGAAACCCAAGGAGGGGTTGCCATGAGTCGGGTCCAACTCGACGGCACAGACAACAACAACATGCCATTTTATGTAAGTGACTTAAGTAAGCATCCATGGATTTTGGTATTGGAGGGCCAATTTCCTTGAACTAATCCCCCACAGATACCGAGGGACAACTGGCTATACCTTAGAGTTGGTGGCATTTATTCTCTGAGTTTTCATAGGTGTCTGAAGTCAAGGTGTTTGGCAGGGTTGGTTCCTTCTACATGCTGTGAGGGAGAATCCATTCCATGCTTCTTTCCTAGCTTTTGGTGGCTGCCAGCAGCCTTTGGTGTTCTTTGGGTTGAGTTTTTAGAACTCAGTTCTTTGCTTTCATTTTCACAAGGCTTTCCGCTCTGTTTTCTCAAGATTTTTTTTTTTTAAACTTCAATGAATTGAAATGTATTTTTTCACAGTTAAGAGGCTTGAAGTCTGAATTCAGGGCGCCACCTCTAGGTAAAGACTCACTCTGTCAGCTCTGGGAGAAGGTCCTGGTCTCTTCAGCTTCTGCTTCTTGACAATCTTCATGTAGCTTCTTGTCTATCTTCCCCCAGCCTAAGAAGTTTTTAAAATAAACTTTATTTATTTTCGATAGGAAGAAAGGCCTATTATTATTTATTATTCCTAATAAATTTTTATTGAAGTATACATACAGAGAACCATATACATCATACTGAAAACCTTGATAGATTGACCACAAAGTGAGCACATCTGTTGGCTACCATCCAGAATAAGAAATAGAACATCACCAGTTATCCAGAACTGCCCCCTTGTGTCCCTCTTAGCTACTACCCCCACTTCTCTTTGGGAAGGCCATGTCTCAAGCATCATCTTGACTTCTAACAGATGAGGCCATTTGCTTGGATTTGTACCACAAGTCAAAGGCTTGGTGCCTTTTCTGCTACCCCATTCCGTGGAGATATACCCCAAGGAGGGGTCTCTGTGAGTCAAATGGACTCAATAACAGTGAAGTTTTTTTTTTTTTTAAAGTTCTGTAATATAAGCCCCAAAAGTGGACAGTTCTTATGAGGGCAGTGACAAGATATGGGGCTGGCTTTACAATTCTGTTGCATCCTGGCCCCAACTTAGGTGTAGGCGTCGACATCTGTGTATCTGGGCAGAAGTCCCTGTCTTCCTCAGCAATCAGTGAAAGGTCTGCCAGGGAAGACTCACTCTCTTGATTTGCTGCAACTGGGAGCTTGGTCTTTAAGGCATGTGCGTGTACAGCATTCATAGAGCCTACAGCTTGAAGGCTGGCTGCAACTGCAAACCCTTTCAATAAATCCCTGACCTCTTACAGAAAGCTGTTACAAGCTCAGTGGAAGGGAAGCTTTTTTTCCCTTTCAAACTGTGGTAAGAATATGTATAACAAAACATTTACCAACTCAACATTGTTAAATGTATAATTCAGTGGTTCATGTTGTGTTTCCAAATTTTTCTGTCACCATTAACAGAAACACGGTGCTCCCTAAACAATGACTCCCCATTTCTCCCTTCCTCCTGTTCTTGGTAACCGCTAATAAACTTTGGTCTCTAAATACTTAACCTATTCTAGATAATTCATTTAAGTGAGATCGTGAAATATTTGTCCTTTAGTGACTGACTTATTTTATTCAGCATAACGTTTTCAAGGTTCATCCAGGTATCAGAACTTCATTTTTCTTTATGGATGAGTAATATTCCACTGTATGTATGTATATATGTATGTGTATGTGTATATGTATGTATGTATGTGTGTATATATATATATATATATATATATATATATATATATATATATATGTATATATGCCACATTTCATTTCTTCATCTGCTGATCGACATTTAGGTTGCTTACTACCTCTTGCAAGTAGAACCATATTCCTACTATGCAAATTTTTAATTTTTCTTTTTGATTTTTTCAGATGTCTTGCCTACTACATTCCTAATTTTAAAATTATACTCAGTATTAGGGAAATTGCCAACCACTTTAACTTTGTGGAGAGAAAATTGACATTACAAGGCGGGTATTTTAGTACAAAGACAAAGCTTTTTCCTTTCCCACTGGTGGTATGGAGTCACAGAAGTTCTGTGGTGCTAGACATGGTTATAAATTAATAGCCATATATTTAAACTAGAAGAAACAAGAAATTTGAATTCCTTTGAAAAAACCAAAACCTTTTTTTGGTTCTATGCAACTCAAATGGCTTTCCGAGCCTGGTCATTGGCACGTTCAGCAGAAAAGTTGGGAATCTAGTGTTACTTGATTTTTGCAGTATTTTTAGTGTTACTCAGATTTTTCTTTGAATCAGATCAGGGAGAGAGCCTTTCCAGGTGTTAGATACCATGAGAAATCTGAACAGAATGAATTCGTACTGCTTCTTTTTTTTCTGAACTCTTCTTCATCTCTGAATACAAGGTAAATGAGGAATTAGTTGCTTTCCTGATGACTCTAACATACTGTAGCTCTAAAATAAAATCCTTTAGACAGCTTAGAAGGGATTTGGGAACTAGAAAATGAAGAAAATATAGGCTTCTGTGCACAAATGATGATGAGAAATGGAGTTGCAGCATTCAACAAAAATTTACTGTCTGTCACGTGCCAGACAGCGTTGTACGTTCTGGGGATACACATAACAGGGAACAGAAGAGTCCCTTCTCACTTACAAAGTGATATATTGTGAACTCCAGAGAGATGTGTGCCTTGCCAGATGTTTTGACTCCTTCTTTTCCTCTCTTCCTTTTCATAGGACAGAAGAATAAACTGAACAGACCCTGATCACTGACTTTCAGCTCTCGGGGGCTTTCTACCCAGTTCTCCTTTTGTGGCCCATGTGCTGCATCCTCTGCTCTCAGTGTGCAACTGGCCCCCAACGCAATGTGTGTTTGTCAAACCATGGAAGTGGGGCAGTATGGCAAGAACGCAAGTCGGGCCGGAGACCGGGGAGTCCTCCTGGAGCCCTTCATCCACCAGGTGGGCGGACACAGCAGCATGATGCGCTACGACGACCACACTGTGTGCAAGCCCCTCATCTCCCGGGAGCAGCGCTTCTATGAGTCTCTCCCTCCTGAAATGAAGGAGTTCACCCCTGAGTACAAAGGTCAGTTTTTGGCCAATTGAGTAAGAACAGTAGCTCTTGAGCCTGCAGGCCCTTGGCTCAGTTTTCCTGATTTTGTTGGCCATGTAATATGGTTGTAGACATTGTCTCAAAGCAACTAAGTTTTTGTTACACAAAAGCATTAGCAAAGCTGAAAACATCAGCAAAGTGTTTAGGGTTTGTAAATAGAATTCATTCATAGGTAAACCTGGGAAGAATCCACAGCATTAAGTCCTATTGGTGGAGAAGAACATGCTGCAGTCTAGAATGTTTCCCATTTCCTCTTACAGTCTAGAAGAGAAGGGAGTGGCACTTCTCTGGCCCTGGAGGAGGATGAATTGGCGTGCTTTCTAGATTATGGCAGTGAACTGGCTGGCAAGGAGGCTCTGTGAGCCTGTATCTGTATGTGCTGGGGGGAATGAATTAATGGTAAGAAATTTAGTGAAGAATGAGCCTCAAGGTCATAAATTTTGAAGGGAAATAAAAGTTTATTTTATCATGATTTGGGTGAAAGTTGATAGAGCAAATTCATTTTCCATACAGCAGCTCACATACACTTTGTTTCATGACATTGCCTACAATTTCCCACAGTGCAACAGCTCCCCTCCCACTTCCTTCCCATAGTTACATCTTCCCTGTGTCCTTGCCTCCCATGCACTCCTGCCCCCAAGCTGTATCCCTGCTCTGTGCTTACACAGCCTTCTATTCTTCCATGATTGTTCTCTCCAAGAAGTGTATCTAGCTAATGTAAATGTTCGGCTCATATGCCTGTCTTTTGTTTGGCTGGAAGCCACGGGAGTGCGTTCACTTCCAGACCTAAAGGGCAGGTAGGGGCCATAGTCTCAGTGGTTCCACCAGGCTCTATCAAACCAGCAAACCTGGTCCCTTTTTTTTTTAAATGATTTTGAGTTTTGTCCCACATTGTTCTCCCATGCTATCCAGGATCTCCTGCACAGTTCCCTCTCCCTAGTCATTGACAGTGGTAGCCAGGCACCAAATAGTACTTCTGGTCTCATGGTCATATAGGCCAAGGATCATGTGGTGTACCAGTCCCTTGGGCTAATTGTTTCTTTGCATCTTTGGTTTTCTTCATTCTTCTTTTCTTTGGATGAGGAGAGACACACTGTTACACCTAGAAGGCCACTTGCAAACTTTTAAAATTCCAGTGGCTACTCACCAAAGTAGGATGTAGAACAGTGTTTTTGTGTAGTATGTTATGCCAGTTGAACTTGATATCTCCTGTGACTATGGTCCTGAGCCCACAGGTCCAACTATTTGCTCTCTCCAGGTAGTTGGCTGTGGCCAAGAAGGCACCACCCTTGCCCCTTGTCAGCTCTATCATACACCTGGACATTCTTAACAGTACATACAAATACACATGTAGAAACATTGTCTGCTAACCCTATACATAGTCATGGGCACACTCCCCCTGCCTAGACATACCTGATCATTCAGCCAGTCCACCCATCTATCCACCCATAGATAAATACTTTCCATCACTGACAATGCAGTACTGTACATGCAAAAGGGTTCATTTTAGTTGTCTGTACCTCCCATGTACGTCTCTATGTTTTCCTCTTCATCAGTGCCACCATTTTGATCATTCATATTTGGTACACTGCCTGAAGGGAAGATAATTTGTTTTAAAGTATAAATTGTAGAAAAGAACCCCATGAGTATATATACCAGAATTAAGTCATTTTATTTTATTTTTTCATTATTTAATTCTGGCCTTTAGTTTATAACACTGTTTCCTTCTATACTTCTTTTATAAGGTATAAAAATCACATTTTTAATTTTAAGATTAAATTTTTAAGTACTATCAGTGCCATCATTTTTTAGTAACGTTTTAGGCTCTGGTGGCAGAGTGCCTAAGGCATTTGACCGCTAACCAGAAGGCTGGCAGTTCAAACCCACCAGCCACTCCTCGGAAGGAAGGTTGGGCAATCTACTTCCGTAGAGATACTGCCTCGGAAACCCAAGAAGGGGTCGCTGTGAGTTGGATCCAGCTCCCTGGCAGTGAGTTTGGTTTTAGTTTTGGTTTAGGCTATTTTGTTGTTGTTACTGTGGTGAAAATACACATAACAAAATTTTCGTGAACTCAATAATTTCCACATGTACAATTCAGTGACATTGATTACATCATTTATGTTATGCAACCTTTATCTCCGTACTAGCTCAAATTATTCTACCACCATTAACATAAGCTCTATGTCCCCTAAGCAAAAATTCCTCCTTTCTCCATCTCTCCCACTTCTCATAACCACTAATCTTTGGTTTCTATATGTGTGTTTGTTTCATATAAGTGAGATTATATAATATTTGTTCCTTTTTTACTTTTTTCAATGAGCATAATGTTTTCTAGATTCATCCATGTTATGGTATGTATCAGGACTTCACTTTTCTTTATGACTAAGTAATATTCCATTATATGCATATACCACATTTTGTTTATCCATTCATATACTGATGGACATTTCAGTTGTTTCTCCTTTTGACTCTTTGAAAGGTGCTGCAGTGAACATCAATGTACAGTTTTCTGTTTTCATTCTTACTCTCACATCTATTGGGTATATACACCTAGGATTGGGATTGCTGGGTCATTATGGCCCTTCTGTGTTCAACTTCTTGAAGCACTGCCAAACTGTTCTCCACAATGGCTGTACCATTTTACACTACCAACAGCAATGGATGAGGGTCTAGTTTCTTTACAAGCTTGTTAACACTTGTTTTCTGTTTTTATTTTTGTTACCATTGCCATTCTAGTGGGGGTAAAATGGTATATATCATTGTGATTTTGATTTGCATCTCCCTAATAGCTAATGATGTTGATCATCTTTCATGTACTTTTTGGCCATTTGAATATCCTCTGTAGTGAAATGTCTGTTCAAGCAAAAGCATCACCAAGCATCTGCTTGGTGCTTTGATTGTGTTGTTTGTCTTTTTACAACAAAGAAATATTAGAACCTTATCAGATATGTTACTGTTAGTTACTGTTGATTTGGCTCCAACTTGTAGTGACTTTATGTATAACAGAACAAAGTGTTGTCTCGTCCTACACCATCCTCACAATTGTTGAGGTATTTGAGCCCATTGTTGTAGCCATTGTGTCAGTCCGTTTCATTGAGGGTCTCCCTCTTTTTTATAGACCCTCTTCTTTACTAAGCATGATGTCCTTCTCTGGGTATTGAGGTCCTTCCTGATGACATGTCCAAATGAGACAAAGTCTTGCCATCTTCACTTTTAAGGAGTATTCTAGCTGTACTTCTTCCAAGATGAATTTATTTGTTCTTCTGGCAGTCCATGGTATATTCAGTATTCTTCGTCAGCATCACAATTCGAATGGTGTTCCTTTTTCTTTGGTCTTCCTTATTCATTGTCTAGCTTTTCATGTATATGAGGCAATTGAAAAGACCATGGCTTGTGTCAGGTATACCTTAGTCATCACAGTGACATCTTTGCTTTTTAAAATTTTAAAGAGGTCTTTAGCGGCAGATTTGCCTGATGCAATACATTATATCATTTAATTTCTTGACTGCTGCTTTTATGGGTTTTGATTGTTGATCCAAGTAAAATGAGGTCCTTGACAACTTCAATTTCTACACTGTTTTTCATAATGTTTGGCCCAGTTGTGCTGATTTTCATTTTCTTCACATTGAGATGTAATCCATACTGAAAGCTGCAGTATTTTACCTTCATCAGTAAGCACTCCAGGTTGTCTTTATTTTTGGCAGGCAGTTTTGTTATCTGCATATCACAGATTGTTGATGAATCTTCCTCCAATCCTGATGCCCCATTCTTCTTCATATAGTCCAATTTCTCAGATGTGTATCTTGAATATGTGGGTTTTGAAAATTTTCTTCCAGTCTGTAGTCTGTCTCTTCACTTCATTGATAAAATTCTTTGATTAACAGAAGTATAAAATTTTTTATGAAGTCCTGTTTACCTATTTTGTCTTTTTCTGCTTATGCTTTTATTGTCATTTTTGATAATCCATTTTTAAAAACTAGGCCCCACAGACTGGCCTCTTTATTTTCTTTTAAAATTTGTACCATTTTAATGTTCACGTATAGGTCCTTGAACCATTTTGAATTTTTGTGTGTGTATGTGTATGATGTGAGGCATGGATCCTCATCCATTCTTTTGCATGTGAAAACCTAATTTTTCCAGCACCATTTGTTGAGGAGACTCTTCCTTCTCCATTGAGACTTAGCTAACACCCATGTTGAAAATCACTTGACCATAGATGTATGGATTTATTTCTGGACACTCTCTTCTGTTCCATTGGTCTGTATGTCAGTTATTATACCAGTACCAGGCTGTTTTAGTTACTGTAGCTTTATGAAATATGAATCCTCCTACTTTATTTTTCTTAAAAATTGTTTTAGCTATTTGGAGCCTCTTGCCCTTCCATATGATATGAGAATTGGCTTTTCTGTTTCTGCACAGAAGGCTGTTAGAATTTTGATGGTGGTTACATTTAATTTATAGATTGCTATGGGTATTATTGACAACTATATTAAACCTTTTAATCCATGAGCATGAAATGTCCTTCCATTTATTTAGGTCATCTTTAATTTCTTTTAGTAATGTTTTATAGTTTTCTGTATAAAAGTCTTTTACTTTCCTGGTTAAATTTATTTCTAGGTACTTTATTCTTTTAGATGCTATTGTATGTGGTAATATTTTCTTTTCTTTTTTTAATGAGGAAGTGGAGGCTGTGAATTAAGTGATTCATCCAAAGTTCTACAGCTAATAAATGGCAGAACTAGGACTGCAATCCAAATCTAGATGTTACCTTACTACTACAGTAGTCAGCCTTGGTAAAGACCATCTGCAACAACAACCACATTTTATCCCCAGGACTGGGAGTGAGGACGGTTGTCAGCCTATTCCTTACTCTTGCTGTTCTAGAATAGTAATATTTTCTTAATTTCCGTTTTCACTAGATCATTTCTCATGAATAGAAACATGACTAATTTTTGTTTGTTGACCTCATACCC